GTTGTGTGGCCCCAAACATGCCTCCTCGTCATGCCTTTGTGGAAAGTTCAGATTTTTTGCATTTCCAGATGAACTCGCAGACCTGAAATGTGCCCCGTTAGCTTCCCCGTGAAAAATGCTATCGAATGATATGCATTACTTCCCCAGTTGAAACTTTGGTTTTTCACCGTTTTCAGCCTTCCCCTATTGCCGGATTGGGCACTATCCCACGACTGCCCCAAAATCTCAAAGTTTCATTTTTCGTCGAAACTTTGTCTATTGGGGTAATTCGATGCCCTGATTACGAATATGACATTCATTTTTGATGCTGGTGTCATTTGGCGCCATTTGGCGCCACGGCTGTTTTCACCAAATCTGCTGAAACTTCGTCATTTGGGGTTATTTGGGGTCCTGATCACGAATATAACATCCAGTCTTGACGCCGGCGCCATGTGGTGTCACAAACAACACTTCACAGTCAGAGCGTACTCTTAGGCACCTTTCTCAGAGCGCCGACTGTCAGACCGTGGAAAAGGTCATCGAATCGGAGACTTTCCCACGACAGGAAGGAGCCAGAAGCATGTTTCACGTTTTCGACAACGGAGAATAACGATGGCTCTTGCTACTCTTTAGCGACACAATCGTCAATGAGAGCTACTGGGCTTAGCCTTGAAGGACGTGTACGAGACGCTCAAGTTGAATAATCTGCACTTACTGGTTGCGATCCATGGGGTTGATGTCTGTGCCACTATGCCATTCATGTCAACGATCCATGAGCCTGATCAACGACGAACGGCACAACGGCTGGATTTGCAATCGTCGAGCGTGCCGCACTGGACCGTCGAACGAGACCAGGGTCTACGTTCATGCCCGAAAGGATTCCTTTTTCGAGAACTGTAACTTTCCTGAGTCCACGGTGTTCGCACTGCCCTATTTCTGGCTGCGCGACATGGGCAAGGTGAAGGACAAGGAATACGAGCTCAATGTCGGCCACACCAGTTCAATTCAGTGGGAGCGGTTCTTCCGCGACGAATGTGTGGGGCACTTCAGGAGGAACCCGATCATCGGAAGGTTCGGGTGCGAGATGGAAATTGACGAAACACTGGTTATCAAACGCAAATACAACCGCCGACGTTGGGTACGCAGGCACAAGTGGCTGTTTGGAGGCATTGAAAGAGGAAGTGGACTCCTTCGGATGGTCCGAAGGAAAGACGTTTCAACTCTACTGCGGCTCATCATGAAGTAGTACATCGAGCCCGGTACTACCATCCTCAGTGACAGCTGGAGAGCTTACAGTCGAATTGCTGCTCTGCCCAACGCATACAGGCATCTCCAGTGAAAACGTGAAATATGCT